GATCACTGGTATCTAAGTCTTCCGCTGTGCTATCTTATACTTTGTGTTGAAAGGTCGGTTCTTGTTCTGGTCTGCACCTATACGGTATGCAACACTGCCCGTCTACATTGCTGATCTGGCGCTCGCCACCTGTCTGTATTGGTGCCGTGGCGCAGCTACAGGTCTACACCGCTGCTGTGGCACTGCCGCCTGTCTGCTGCTGACGCGGCATTGGCCACGCTGTCTGCATGAGGTAAGCGGTTGCGATGAGGATGCTTAGCCATAGCGTAAGGATAGCAGCCACCATAGCCGTAGATAAAGTGAAGCGTATGTGTGTGTATGTATCTCTCTCTCTCTGTGTCTGTTGTCTGCTTGTCTTGTCTGTTCGTGTCTGTCTGTCCATCTGTCTGCCTGTCTGTCTGTCTGTCTATCTGTCTGCCCGTCTGTCTGTCTATCTGTTTGTCTGTCTATCTGTCTGTCTGTTTGTCGATGTCTGTTTTTTTTATCTCTCTTTTGTTTTACTTCTCCTTCTTCCTCTATCTCTTCCCCCTCTTCTTCTTCTTCTCCATCTTCTTTCCCCTTCTTTTTCCTATCATGCATACACTCGTTTATGACTAACTGCAGGTCGTACTCAGAGCACCATCTAACAACAGTTCACGTGTCAGTGACCCTTCCGCAGATTCACCTACGGAATTTGTTACCTTGTTATGACTGCTCCGTTCTCAGAATGATAAAATCCAATGAACTTCTCACAGCATACACAGCGGCAAACCACGGAGATCACGGCAGTCCAGACACCTCACCGGACCATTCAATCGGTAGGAGCAACGGGTTGTGTGTACAAAGGGAAGGGGCGTAATCAGCAGGAACTGATTACTCAACTGCAGGGTGTATGAGTGGGAACGTTATACAGTAAACCAAGTTGCGAAATCACACAGCCGAGCAAGTAGTCGTATCCCAAGTAGAGAGTATAAATGCACCGAGAAAACCATCCATAAAGAGCAATACAATGAAGTATTGAGCCAATGTCCAAGCCCGTAGGCCACACCAACACAGTATCCAGGTTCGTTCTCTCTGTCTGGCGCACAGCGCCCAGCCTGTTCTAATCGACTATCCTACCACAGCTGGTTCACACAACAGGGTCACTTCGACCATCGAAGACCAATGTACATGACTGTCATTACCATAGCCAATCCCCATTCACGTACGAGGTACGTATTCTTCCCCCTCCCATCAGATCTCATTCACCTACACATTCGTTTTCCTGCCTGAAGACCACCGATCACCTGTTTACCCTGTAATGGTTCAACCACTACCCATTTTAGCTAGGATTTAAATATAATAATAATATAATAGTAACAATAATAACAAAATAATAATAATAATAATAATAATAATAATAATAATAATAATGATGATGATGATGCACAAAAAAAATAAAATAAAATAAAATAAAATAAAATGAGTGATAGCGAACTTCAGAAACCAAGCAGCATCATACACATGAGACCAGATAGTCGTGACCTCGAACCAACAGCAGAATTGTACCACGAGTTTCACCAAACAAGAGCAACCCAAAAGCTTATAATTGACAATGCTGGAATAGTCTCATCATCATCATCAACGAAGAACCAATGTTGATATCCTATCTGGCGCTCAGCGTCCAGACTACAGATGGCAGATCCTATCTAGCCTAGACTACGATGCCGCTGATGACGTCAACAACTCCCCGAAGTACGATCAGATCTTGGCTAATGTCGTTCGCCTCAAGCACCAGGTATGTCTCTCGTATCACTCGCAACCTCGATCCCCAACTCACAGATGCCACATGCACACGCGCAGAGCTCTCTCTCTTTCACACACATACACACACACACACACACACACACACACACATAAACAATACGAGAGTGACAACGTATATTTCCATGTTCTTGGCGGTAGATTCATTTGGTTTCGATCGTCCAATCGTCAAAAGTAGCGTGAGTTCAGTTGGGCGATCGACACTTATCTGCTCATACACACACACACACACACACACACACACACACACACACACACACATACATTCCCTTTGCTCATTGCTGCCTGTTTGCATGCGTGTAGCAGCCTGAGTGTGTGCTTGTTGGTGGTAAAGTGTTTCTCTCTGCCAGGGTTGATCTGGTTCCGTCGTGCGCTCAAAGCTCTGCCCGTCCGCCTCCATTTCGCCCGCTTCCAAGTCCGTATTTCCTCTCTGCATGTACCTCTCTCTCTCTCTCTCTCTCTCTCTCTCTCTCTCTATCTATCTATCTATCTATCTATCTATCTCTCTTTCACACACATGTGCCAGGTACTAAGCTCTGAAGTGGCGCCTTGATGCAGGTACCTCGAAGACGAAGCTGGGGCTATAGCATCACAGGTAAGTCTCTCTCTCTCTCTCTCTCTCTCTCTCTCTCTCTCTCTCTCTCTCTCTCTCTCTCTCTCGCTCACTCTTTGTGTACGTTCACCCGATCTCTCCCTCTCTCCCTCTCTCCCTCTCTCTGCAACATAGCGTGATCCGTCTCGATCCGCAGCATACCGATCGCAACGTGGTGAGCACGACAGGCACATGCACGCACCTCAACAAGCCGCGCGGATGACGAGCCGACCTCACGATGCTAGTGCCTAAATATCATGTGTTCAGGTAATGTTAAATTGTCCTAATAATAATAATAATCATAATAATAATAATAATAATAATAATAATAATATAAACAAAAGGAAACAGCAACAAAACTAATACTAATAATATTTATTAACATTAACGAACGTATATTTCCTTATCTCTTTCGGTCTTGATACAGCCAGGGTGAGGGCGTGGGCGGTGGTCATCGGATTGCCACGTTGATCGGTTATCGATCCGGTGAGTTTCCTTCTTCTTTCTCTCCCCCTTCCTTTCCCATTGCCTTCCTCCTCCTCCTTCTTCCTCTTCTTCTTTCTCCTTCTTCTTCTTCTTTTCTTTCCCTCCTTCTCCTTCCTCCTCTGTTTTCCGCATAGTCTCTGTCTTTTCCACCAACACGCAGCCCTCGTTCCTCCATAAGCCCCCCCTTTCTTCTCTCTCTCTCATACTCTCCCTGTGTGCGCATTCGCCCACTCTCTCTCTCTCTCTCACGTACACACACACACACACACACACACACACACACACACACACACACACACACACACACACTTACACATACACACAAACGAGCGTTCACACTCACACACACATACGCACGTACATACACACACACATGCACATATACACACACATACAGAAATAAGTGTGGCAGTGTATATCCCGATGTTCTCGCGGTAGATTTCAGACGATTTTACTCATTCGATCGATTAGAAGTACCGGGAAGACCAGCCGCGAGATTTGGCACACACACACTCACACAAGCACACACATAAACATACACACACACATACTCACTCTCACAAAAATACACACACACACACTCATACATGTGTAGTAATGTAGGTTCTACGTTTCTAGTGGTAGATTCGTTCGTTTTAGCTCATCCTATCGTAGAAGAGTATCCGTAGATAGGCCACGAGGTTAATGACTTACCTGTTATCTTTCTCCTCATGCACCGTTGCCGTCGTCTTCGTCGTCTTCGTCGTCGTCGTCGGGGTCATTTCCCTTTCTCAGCGCACACGATCCGTCAGGGAGCACAGCCTATCATCGTCGGACGTGACAGGCACAATCGTGCTTTCCAACGAGCCGGGCCGTCGACAGGTAAGTCGCCTTTTCCCTCGTCTCCCTCCTCCTCTTTTTCCTTCTTCTTCTTCCTCTTCTTCTTCTTCTTCTTCTCCTTCTCCTTCTCCTTCTTCTTCTTCTTCTTCTTCTCCTCCTTCCCCTGCGCGCCGCTATATGCTTTCTTGCTTGCACGAGCTACCATCTCAGCACGATTCTCCCTTCCGTTTTTCTCCCCGAAACGCTCCTCCTTCTCTCTCGCGGCGCTGTTCCTTCTCTCCCTAGCTGTCACCTCGCCCATTTCACCGGCGGTCTCCCTGGCCGCATCGTGCTTCATCCTCCCTACTTCGCCCTCCTCCTGCAACCTTCCCTCCCCCGTAGTCGTCACCCTCGTCCCCTATCTCCGAGTCCCTCGTCGCCCCCCCCGGTATGTGTCGAACTTGGATACCGGTGCGGACGTCGGGAAAATCCCGGGAATGAATCTGCCCGGGTTCCTCGACAAATTAAAAAGAAGTTTCTCATACGAGATCGGAGAGGAAAAAAAAAAAAGCATACAGAAAAGACGAAAAAGAAAAATAATGGAATAAAACAAGAAAAATCTAACTACCAAACTACCCTATCGTGCCATCTGTCGTGCCCTCGTTTTCAAACGAGGCTAACCTCAACAACTAACTCTAACTAACCTATAATCTTGAGGTCACGGGTTCAAGTCCCCGCCAGTCATCCGGGGGTGAAAACCAAAGTAAAACTCCTCGTAAGGAGTTAACTCAAGGTTGAGGCAGATTTGACCCATACTTCTCCAATTTGATAGTCTACCCCAAAACCTATTGAGCTAACTCCTACTTCCAATAAAAGAAGAGCTACTCTTGTATATATACAGGAGTGGGGCTCAGCCGGCCTAGTGGCCTGAGCCCGTTTCTAAGTCTGCGTGTGTGCACACTTGCCGGCCTGCGGGCTCTGCATCCCTGTCTGAGTGCTTGTCGGCTTGAGTGTGAGTGTGACCCGCAAAGGACGCTTGTTCATTTGAGAGGCCCCATAGGCCGGTACTTACCTGTGGCTGAGGCTTTGAGGGTTGCTGCGGAAAACATTCAAGTAGCGGGGCAGGCCTGCGACTATCAAAGCAGCGGGGGGGGGAAACGGGCAAGTAGCAGGTCGGCCGGTACCACTTAAGCCTCGATAGACGTGTAGGGACCAGGCCGTCAAGCAGTAAGGGACAACAGTTAGCATTGCGAGTGGTATTGCAATCTCGTAGATCACACATTAACAATCGCCTCGGCCGTATGGCCGGGGCGTATATTAATTTACCCTAACTAACGTACCGACGATTAAGTCTCAGCGTGTGTCGTAGATGTACCCGACATAGCTAAGCCTAATCAACCCCTCGACCTTCTTGGGCGGAGCGTACAGCGCACGTTATAACAATGCGCGTGCATACTCTCGAAATTTTTCTCACCGATTCGGCCTGGCCTCAATGGCCGAGGAAATCGTTTCAAGTGTCACGCTAAAGCGTGCACACCACTTTTCATCCCAGACCGTCTCCGTCAGGGTAGCCAACGTCGTTACTGTGTCGAATGCAAAAGCATGGCCAAATACCCTTGTAAGGGTATTTGGTCCGACAACGGGCACCTTTGGGGGGGGGTGAGGCACGATTACGGGCAGACGGGCGGGCGGAGGGATGGGACACGATTCGAGGGGTGGGGGCCACGATTATGGGCAAACGGGCGGGGCCGTCGTGGACCAAATGACACCTTTGGGGGGTGTGGGGGGCACGATTACGG